AAAATGAACCACTGACCCATAAATGGATGAGAATTACCCAGAGTAAATGAGGCAGACATTTTCCCAGCATAACTGTGCATGCTGCAAGGAAGATTCTTGTTATAATTAAAAGAGATAGAGTGGTCAGTAGGAACATTTATCAAGAACAAACATGGTAACATCACCTGTTTTAAAGTCCATCTTTTATCCTCATGTCATACCATCTATCTGAGTTTTAAAAGACATACATGACAAATAAAAATAGTACGTATAAGCACATAGAGCAGAACTAAACAAAAATTTACTTAGAATATGGATACTGTCAATGTCCAGTTTACTCAGTGCTAAATTGGCACTGTCCAGTGTGCTAGTCACATTGAAATGGCTAATGAGCATTTAAAATGTGGTTGGTTTGGACGGAGATGTGTTATAAGTATAAAATAGCAGGTTTCAATGACATCCCACCAAAAAAAAATAATGTCCCGTGTCTAGTGACTGCTTTTTCTCTATGGCTATAGCACATGGAATAGTACATATATGACTTGAATTTGTGGCTTAGACTCCTATTTCTGTTGGAGAAAATGGATCTAATTGAAAATGTTAGCAAACGAACTGTCATTTATTAGTCCAATGGAATTGAAATATAAATTCATATTAATTGACAAAATTATTTTTATGAGTTAACTTTTCCATTTCTCCTACACTGGTAAGTTTCTGCAAATGCAAATGTTTGCTTAATAACTTTCTAAAGGAAAAATAAGGAAAGCTAGTTCTAAAACATGAATTGGGTTCTGGAAGAAACAAGAGAATTATTTACCCAGGACTCTGCAAGTGATAAATCTTGCTTGAGAAGACAGGCCAGGCCTCTGTTTCTTTTATATTCATAGAGCTTTACTTCTCTATTGGGAAGACAACAGGAAGACTCCCCTTCTTTTTTTTTTTAAAGATTTATTTATTTATGCATATAGAACTGGGGTACAGGCCAGGGGTAGGGAGTGAGAGGATTCACCAGAGACAGAGTGGGGAGCGGAACAGGCCGATCTATTGAAATACACTGCTGAGGGGAGCAATGGGAGAAAGGAGAGGTCTGCTGCCCCATGTGGTCACCTCCCTGGCCAGGAATTGAACTTGTGTGAAGTGGCTGTGGCTAGTTTTGCAATGCTGCACTTTAACTCACTCCATCACCAGGGAGGGCCCAAAATATTTTAATGTTTAGAAAGCATTTCAAAGATACAGGAAAAAACTATCTGCAGTATTTGATGGCAGTAAATAAAAATAATATAGTATTTTTTTATAATATAATAGTTTATTTTTACATCATTTTGTACATTTTTTTTTTCATCTCAGTTGCAATCCCCATGTGTTTCCCATCACTAAGTCACCCATGTGCCATCACCACAGTCCAGTGCACTTCCCTCCCCCCACCGTTTTTTATCCCATTCTCCACTCCACCCCCATAAAATGTCTCTGGTATATGGCTGTTCATTATTCTTATTGTTTTCTCGCCTGGTCCATTATTCTCCTGCTATGAGCGAAACCATCTGGTATTTTTCCTTTTCTTTCTGGCTTATCTCACTAAGCATGATCTTTTCCAGCGCCATCCATGTTGCTGCAAAAGACATGTGTTTCTTTCTTTTTTTTTTGGTTGCTGAGTAATATTCCATTGTGTATATGTACCACATCTTTTAAATCCAATCATCCTCTCTTGGGCATTTGGGCTGCTTCCATGTTTTTCCAATTGTAAATAAAGCAGCAATAAACATGGGGGTGCAGGTATCTTTTTCAATTAGTGTTTTTGTGTCTTTTGAGTAGATACCTTGGAGTGGGATTGCTGGGTCATAGGGAAGCTCCATGTTTAGCAGTGTGAGGAACCTCCAAACAGTTTTCCATAGTGGTTGTACTAATCTGCATTCCCACCAGCAGTGCAGGAGAATTCCTTTTTCTCCACATCCTTGCCAACACTTGTTGTCGCTGGTTGTTTGAAGATGTGCCATTCTTATTGGGGTGAGGTGGTATCTCATTGTGGTTTTGCATCTCCCTTATTACAAGTGATGTTGAACATTTTTTCTTATGCTTGCTGGCATTTCCTCTTTGGAGAAATGTCTTTTTAGCTGCTCTGCCCATTTTTTGATGGGGTTGTTTATTTTTTGTTGAGTTTCATCAGTTCTCCGTATATTTTTCTGATCAATCCTTTATCACTAGTCTTGTATGGGAAAATTTTTTCCCAATTAGTGGGCTGTCTTTTTTTTGTAATGTCTCTTTTGCTGTACAGAAGTTCTTTAACTTGATGTAGTCTCATCTATTTATCCTTGCCTTCACTATCATGGCATTGGGTGCTCTATCTTTAAAGATGTCACTGAAGTGTATGTCATGTAGTGTTTGACCCATCTTTGTTTCCAGGTATTTTATAGTCTCCATTCTTATGTCTAGGTTTTTAATCCACTTCAAGTTGATTTTTGTGTATGGAGTGAGGTAGTAATCTAATTTCATTTTTTTTGCATGTAGCATCCCAGTTTTCCCAGCACCATTTGCTGAACACACTTTCTTTGTACCATTGTATCTTCTTTGCTCCTTTGTCAAAAATTAGCTGTCCATAGAACTCCCCTTCTTTATGAATATGCTGATGAAATTTCATGATAGGATAATGTCATTTTAGAAAAGAAGCTATAAACTCAAGAGGGCACAAATGCCACATGGGCCATTGATTAAGAATTTCTAGCACTGAAAATGGTGTTTTTTTTTTATAAGCATTATGCTTTTTTAGGAAGGATTTGATCTATTTATTCTATAATTTACCCAACCTCATGTTTCATTGAAATAGGTACTTTTATGCTTAAGCAGAGAAAAATTATATTGGAGGTATACTTTGCTGGGTCTTTTAGAAATACAGTGTTTTCACATATCTAGGATGTTATATGGAGAGGGTTTCCAACACAGAACAAATAAGCAAATCAAAGTTTTCTACACTAGGCTGGGGGAAATGTTCAGGGTATGTTTGGGAGAGGGATAAAACAGTTGTTTAACTGTCACTGACTGCGAATCCTCGCAGAAAGCAAAGGAGGATCATCTGATTAAGAAAACATCACAGGCAGCGTCAACACAGGCATGGCATAAAAAGTTTTCACAGACTTTCACAGATACTTTCAGAGGTTTGTGGCTAGGTGATGATTAAAAGAGACAAAATAGGCCCTCCCTGGTGATGCAATAGGTTAAAGCTCAGCACTAAGAAGCTAAAGCCACTTCAGCATGAGTTTGATCCCCGCCCCGGAGGTGACCACATGGCACAGTAGACCTCTCCTGACCCACTCGCTGCTCCCCTTAGTAGTGTACTTCATCAGTCGACCTGTTATGTTCCTCACTCTGTCTCTCGTGAATCCTCTCACCACCCCTGCTCCTCTGGCCTGTACCCCAGTTCTGTATTCATAAATAAAAATAAATCTTAAAAAAAAAAAAAGACAAAACATGTGAGGCATTTAGTGTGTAGAAAGAGTTCAGAATACAGGCTATCATCTGGAAACTTGTCCTGTGGGCTGAGTAAAGTTTATCTCCCTTCACTGTCAAAATGCAAAGACTCCAGAAAATTCACTCTAAGCACTCTGCTTTTGTCTAAATTCATTTGTATAAAGCTTTACTCATGCTCTATTTGCCAGTGACTCATGGTTAAATCATTTCACTCATCTTCTTCCTCTTTTCTTTTAATACAGTTGCAAAGCTTTGTTCTCCACACCCCTCCCCCCAAGAAAAGCTGAGCAACTCTAACATACTCATAACCTTAATGAACTAATGTCATTCAGAGAAAGTTTGTATCCACTTCATGACTGTAGTTGATGATAATTTCTTGAAACTCTGAATACGAATTCTTAGGAATTTTCTAGAGTCCTATGAAAATTCTTATCACCTAACCTATGTGAGGTGAAGATTGGCATCCAATGACTGCTAAGAAGATATAAGGATTGTAGCAGAAATATAAATAGGCCAGCAGTGAAATTTAATTAACACTGCATATGTTAATAATAAATTCAATTAATTTGGTCTTATACCTATACTAGAGGAAAAATACTCAGGCAAAATAATAATCCATTTTAAATGCTTCAGTTGGTAACCTCCTTTCCCGAAGAGTGATTTATACAGTAATTTACTGGCTTTGTCTTCATAAGATTGTTCTAAGTCAACCCTTTTGAAATAATCATAATTTCTGAATGTGTGTTGTGAGAGATATAATAAATGACTTCTTATTAAATTTCATTTAATGAGTTATCTATTCATATGGCAATTTTTTTTACATTCTCTCAAGATAAACAGTTTGTAAATACTGTGGACAACATTTCCATTTCACTAAAACCACAGTAGGAAAATCTGCCTTATACTTTCTACATGATTTGAGGATCAATCCGTTTGCAATTATAAACTAAAGAGACATCTATTTTTTTTCCCAGGGGGCAAAGTAGATCATTCTAAATTTCTATAGCCTAGAGATCTCAAATTGGTTGGTTATGGGGAAAAAAAAGGGCTATTTATTAGCAGGAAAGATCTTAACAGGAATTGCAGGAGAGATGCAAGAAATAAAAACACAGAGAAAAAAAGCAAACGTTGAAAGGTAGTTGAGGTTGATTAAGTAGATTCTGACACTTTTAAAGAACAAGACACATTATGAGAATCTCCTACAGTCTCCCTATTTCTCTCAGTCCAATTGTAAAAAGAACTCACATTTTCTCATATAAGTTTTACTATTTAAGAATTTTAATTCCTTATCTTTTCCAAAACTCAATTACATAGCAACTCAGTTACTATATGCTATAATAAAAATAGCCATGACGAAACAATAAAGTTAGAAAAATAATAAAAACTAGGAGGAAGAAATTACTATCATGAAGGAAGAAATGAAGCCTAGCTGTTTTAAATAGTTTGCACCTATATAGAAAGCTTTGCAATAAACAGGGCAAGCTCTTAAAAAATAATTCCCTGCAGCGCTTGGAAGTATACCTATGTTATTAAATAATTCAAACACAGCTGTTACTTACAAGAGAAGCGAAACGGCCTCGCTCCTAAGCCGCAATGCCTTATTCCCTCTCCGTGGAAAAGCCCGTACTGCATCTCACCCATGAACTTGTCCAGCTCCTGCCCTGAGGCATTGACGAGCAGAGCCCCTGTTTTGCAGAGGAAGGTGGCTTTAATCCACAGTGGTGTCCCCAGAGCTGTCACAACTCCGAGGGCACACAAGAAACTTAGCACTCCGGCCATGCAAAAAATTATTTTCTTCTGTTGGTTTGGCATGTTGAGAAGTGGCTTTCATGCGGATGAGGTTCAATGCCAAGACTTTCTTGAGCGACGAGAATGACTTCCCCTTTGGCTGCATTTATTATAGAAACTGAATAAACAGACCCCACTGAAAAAGCTCCTTTACCATTTGGACAGAGGTTCTGCCAGGTTAAATGTCTAATTCCAGGCTGCAAGCTTCTTCACCACATTACAGAACTACTCTATATTCTGTCTCTTCTCTCTAAGTTGAAACCTTTGGACAAAGAATCTGTAAACTAAAACTCTTCAAACTGCATTTGAGTATCTCCTCTGTGTTACTTGGTAACAAGGGTCTAAGGTAACAGATGGAGCCCTATGTGTAACTTGATCAGTACCTTCCCTCTCTTCAGCCTTTTGTTTGACTGTTGAAAGTTCAGAAAAAGGCTTGGCTCTTACGGTAAATAGCTATTTGAGATGCTCTTTTTTTTTTTCATTTTGTTTATTTTACATTTTAGAAATAAGAAAAAGTGATTTATAAAAGAACCAAGAAAAATACATGGATATTATTTGTGAAAAGAAATACCAGATAAGGTTTTATAAAGAATATAAAACGTTCAAAGAATGCTGAAGGTAACTTCTTAGGCCTCAGAATTTTATTTACACTTTGACTCCCTCAAGGAAGTACTGTACCTTTGAATTTCTATCTATGAAAATATTCAAATATGATTTGATATTTAGCAGTAACTGTTTCTTTGAAAAGGCTTAATAATCTTTCTCTAAAATTCGCTATTGATTCTCAAATAATAAATGTGCAATTTCCATAACCACGGATTAGTGTTTTCTCTGAGCTCCTTATCTATAACAATGAAAATTTTCAAAGATAATCAGTATTCTAATATTTTTGCAATTCATCAAAACCACCTTCATGAAATCCGAAACCAGTTGTACATTGTAACTGCCCAGTATTTGCGACTGGGTGTGCTACATCACCGAAACCAAGGTACCCACTAGATTCTGTGACTGGAGTCCAGGGCTTTTCTGAAAAGTTGTCCCTCATAAATTCTTTCTATTTTTAATTTGTTTCTTATTCTTATTAATTGTTTTATGATTTCTATTTTCATATTCAATCTGTGCTTTCCTTCTCTCTTTATGACTAGAAAAATCAGACTTCTTAAAAAGTTCTTTGTCAATCATTCATTTACGCAATCATATAATTTGGGGATTACAACTTGACACCTACATATATGCACATGCTTCACTTACCCTCCACCACAGCCAATACCCTAATTGTAGCAAGATATGATGTTAGAATTAATTTTGTGGATAGAAAATGCCCAAGATCAGGCCATCGGGATTATCCTGTAACTTGTTCTCTCTCAGACCCATTATTTGGAAGTAGTATCTAGTATCAGCAGAGAATTTGATTCAAATCTTTCTTACCCAGCACACAAAAATAAAGAGACGCAGGTGTATTTAAATTTCTAAGTACTTTCTTTTAAAACTTTTGGTTGCTTTGAGACTATATCAAGGAAATGTGGCTGCAAGGGTCTGAGAAGTACCAGACTCTGTAAAGCAGGCAAGGGTATTGGCATGAAAAGTAGGGATTGTAGTAAGACAGCTCTAAGAATATGCCACCGAAGAGCAAGGGGCCCAGCAGAGGCAACTGGGTAGAGTGACTTGAGTAAGGTTAAGTTGTGGGGTGAGTTTAGTTAAATTGTCAAGATCTTCAAACTAAAGCTCACAATTCAGTGACAACTTTTTAATTCTGCATTTCCAAACAGATTCCTCCTTCTACTAACAGATGTAGGATAGATGTATGTGTACAATGGTGTTCCCATCTTTACCAGACTGAGACCTACAAAGTAAGAAAACCAGTGTGTTCTGTAATTGGAGGAAACAGAACATTTCCAAGTTGAGAAATGAAATTACTTATAACTTTATTAGTGCTGTGACTATTTCTATAGAAAAGATAAAGAGAGGGCTAGTTAACATAGGACAGTGGTTTGGTGAACCAAAACCCGGCCAAGTATATTTCAAGTTATCCGAAAAGAACAGCCCTGTTATGGATGTAGAAAGCAGTGAATCATATCCATTCTTAAGTTTGTACCAATCCATAGTGAATTGATACGAGAAAAATAAGTACAACTTAATGAATTAACATTTTATTCTGAAATTTTGCCCTTCCAAAATTTTGTTGTTAAATTTTCCTTTCTTTGATAAAATAATGGTAGCTGAAGTTTTAATGTCCTTACTTGACACATTAAAAATTTGTCAAACTATATCTGTTCCATTTAAAAAAAACAAAATCACCCACTGGCCTGTGTAAAGAAAGGATGAGGCCTGAAGCTTAGTCATAGCCTGGATTTTTCTTTGTCCTAACCCAGTGGTTTTCAGACTTGAGTGCTCACTGGAATCACAAGAGATTCACACATACTGCTCTAGGTCCTTATCCTTGAGTTTCAGATTTATTTTATTTTAGAGAATGGCCTTAGTGTGAAAATGCCCTCAGTGATTGCTATGTACAGACATAGCTTGGAGCCAGAATTTTTCCCCCATTCCCTCTGAGCAGCGTTCTGATTACTAACTAGGCTTTATAGGCTTTAGGTGCTTGAATGCACATGGTCATGAGTTTTCTGGTTAGTAGAGAGGAATACTCTCCAATAAATTAATAAATTGGCACTAACGCATAGAGCTAACACTTCCTTAATTTTGGGAAGCACAAAGAACATGATTATGTCAAAATGTCCTAATGAGGTCAAGTTTCAGCATATCCAAAATTAAAGACTAGCTGTGGATAATAGAGTCACCATGCGAATGACAATGATGATGTCTGCAGGTTCTGAAACAGCCCCTCTTGGCTCCTACACCCACCTCACCTACTCTCTGTGCAGGTTCCTTTCAAATCTTAATACCAACCACCCACAGGGAGTGTGTGTGATCCACCCTCTGAGAATGATATAATAGAATCTGGCAGTCATTATGCCTGACAGCCTTCTTTTGAAATTTCATCTTAAATGTCTTGAATGACAGTGATGACACCATTTTCCTTGCAGTCTCTCTGAGAAATTGAGTCATTAATGTCAGCAAGTTTTCACCAAGTATCCTACTGAAATCTTTACTTCTCTCAATCGTAATAGCAATACACTTGGTGACACAGGAAAATGGAAGGAGGCCTTCCTGTCTTCCCACAGAACCACATTTAGGACTAGATCTAGTTGGTTCTTAAGGTGACAGAAAGGAGAGAAAGGAGTACAACTGAAGACATTTTACTTTCAATGGAAGATTTTTCCTTTGTCACACTTATTTGACTTTATTTGTTTCTTCATTCAAAAACAAGAGAAAAAATATATAAAATAACAATAAGACTCAAATCAAAAGACATGGGAATTCTCATGTATTTTGCTCCCTAAGAATAAGAGACAGTATAGTATGATATGGAATGAACAGTGACAGAAAGATGTAACCCAGGTTCATCACTAAGACTTCCTTAATTTCTCTAGCATTGTTTTTATTCATTTATATAGTAAATGAATAAAATAGGCAATTACCAAATTATTTTTAACAAGAAGAACCATTTTCTTCACTGAACTTTTAGGTGGAACAAAGGATAAAATTGAGCTGCTTGTAAGCTGGAATGAGTGGGATCAAGTAACTCTGTTAGTGCTTTCCATCCTCTACTCCCTGAAAGCCCCTTTACTTATACCCCAAAAGTCACCTATGAGAAGCACAGTGATGAACATGGATTCTTTAGTTTCCTTTTTTTTTTTTTAAAGATTTATTTATTTATTCATATAGAACTGGGGTACAGGCCAGAGATGCGGAGGGTGAGAGGCTTCACCAGAGACAGAGTGGGGAGCAGAACAGGCAGATCGACGAAGTACACTGCTGAGGGGAGCAGTGGGCGGGCCAGGAGAGGTCTGCCTCACCATGTGGACTCCTCCGGGGCAGGCGGGAATCGAACTCATGAGGAAGTGGCTTAAGCTTCATAGTGCAGTGCTTTAACCCGCTGTGCCACCAGGGAGGGCCCTCTTTAGTTTCCTTTTAACTAAAATATATTTTTTGTAGGTTATGGAATTAAAATTTTTCCATTTGTTATATTGTTTTTTTCCTTGCTAACTGTTATAGCTAATTTGGTTACTTTTATAGAATGTCATATTGCCTAGAAACACAATATGACTGATTATTCCAATTATCAAATGCTAATTTTTTTATGTAATTAGTTTCTAGATTTTGTCTAATTTGTCACCAGCAATACTGATTTTGGTTTTCTTCCAAATACATCATTATACTCCAACGTTTCTCTGAGATTCAACAAGGATTTATTAAGCTTCCTATTCAAAGATGAGATCTTTCTAAATCTATCCCATTTTTCTCATCTTTAAAACAAGATATGGCAAGTTTGATTGATGTTTCTTGAGTAATTCAAGTTGCTGGTGATCCTCAGTAGCACTGTAATTCTCTAATGATTGTGAGGAAAAAAAAACACACTCCACAGAAAAAGTTGATTGACTTATTAAGGAGGAAATTACAATGTGTGTTAGACCTTGATTGCAGCTAATATTTGTAAAGCTAATTGCTTGAACTAGAGAACCAAAAGGGTTGAGAAAAGGAAAGTAAAAGAAAACAAATTTCCCTTGAAATACAGACAAAGCCAGAGTGGAGTTGGACTGAAAGATAGAATTCAGTGAAAGCATTTTCAGAGCTGATGATGGTTATGGGGACATTTTGAGTATGTGTAAAAGTTCAGCTTCTTTGAGACACCTTATTGTTAGGAGAATTTCGCACCAGTACAAATAGTAATGGACTGATCACAAAAATATACAAAGAACTCACATGATTCAACAAAATCAAAATAAATAACCCAGTCAAAAAATGGGCAGAAGAGCTAAGATGATATTTCTTCAAAGAGGAAATGCAAATGGCCAACAGGTATGTGAAAAAATGTTCAACATCATGTATAATCAGGGGAATGCAAATAAAAACCACAATGAGGTACTGCCTTACACCACTGAGAATGTCACACATTAAAGATACAGAGAACAACAAATGTTGACAAGGATGTAGAGAATAAAGAACTC